CATTGAACTAGGGTTCTTCATCCCCAAGTGAGAGAGGGGTTCTACTCCATAGAGAGAGAGAGAGAGAGGAAAACAGTAATCGGAGTAGTCATACTCATAAGATGAGGAAAATCTGCTCCGGGATGATGATTGCCACTCCTAGGACGATCTCCAAGCTCGATTTCTTTGAAACCCAGATCCAAGATAGCTTCTAGGATGTGTCTTCGTCCTTTCTCTCTCTAGGGCTCTGTTTTTGCTCAAAAAGTCCGATCCTCTCCCTTGTGGCTCGAAATTGGCTGAAAAACCAAGATTTCCCGACTCACACGGGCAGGCCACACGGCCTTGTGGCTCACCCAGTTGCCCGTGTGAGTCAAAACACGGCGTATCAATTAGTTCGATCTTCAGGCTTCCCACACGGCCAGGGTCGCACGACCGTGTGGGATTTCCATCCTGCCCGTGTTTGCTCTCGGCGAAACTCGCACGGCCACCTTGCTCCTCCACACGGCCGTGTCATGGTTATGTGTGCCCGTGTGGCTTCCTCATCGGCTTGCCTCGCGCCCGATCTTCATCCAATCGACCCCAAACTCGCTCCCAAGCCTCCATTCACGTACTAGGACCTGAAATATCACAAACAAGCACAACCTAGCGTGAAATCGGCCTAAAACATGAGAAATCACATCTCAAACGGTGTAAGAACAGGGGTAAAAACATGTGTAATTAACGGTCTATCAACTCCCCCACACTTAACCGTTTGCTTGTCCCCAAGCAAACCAAGTCAGACACAAGGTAAGCTTACATATTTCAATCAACCAACATTGGGGACAAGTCATAAAGGCACAGAACACGTGAATCGTACTGGTTTTCAAATATCAATACCTGACCAACTTCAATAGCAACCTGGACAACCACCACAAAGGACATTCGAGTGCAGCAAAATCGAGTAAAGGAAGAGTCTCCCTTCTGTTCACCAACCAACCTAGACTTGACTCAACCACTTACTCAAAACAGTCAACTCATGCATCCAACTCAAGACATCAGAATAGAGACCGAGCACTCTAGGTCCTCACCGGGGTACAAGAGTATATAGAATATGAAAATGAATCACTCACTCTCGACCAGTGGGGTCAGGACAATTTGATGCGAAAAATGCGCATGTTATTTCTCTCAATCCCTAACATCTCTTCACCATGATGGCAGCCTCTAAATGCTAGAGTTCACATATGGGGTGTCACCACTAACTAATCAGGAGGTCTTAGACACAGGTTCAAATGACTGGCTAGGGTCTTGGACATGGGGAAAAGGCCTTTTAGGTGGTGGAAGTATTCATAGCACAAGGTTCCACATTTCCAAACCCACACAATCACAGTCAAACAAACCGGTATTTCCTTTATGCTATTCTGCATTACTCAATATCTCAAGAGCACAAGAGAGAAGGAGGTATAAATGTCAGCATTTCCAAGCCAGACTGCTAAGAAACACTACTTACTGGGCATTATTCAGATTTTTGGTAGTGGCTCTCTTTTGCTTCCAATTTTTCGTTGTTTTTCTTTCATTTTCTTTTCATTTCTTAAGAGAGCCACCACTTCTGCATATATTTCAAACACATGCCCAGCCCAACTTTTAAGCACTACCTCCAACACCCACATCAAATTTAGCAGAAACAGCAGAGAATATGTAAAAACCACTCTGTGGAACCTTCTAAAAGATGCAAAAGGGTGATTTTTTTCATTTCAGACCAAAAGAAAGGATAACACACGGCTCAAAAGGGCTGACTAGGGGATATGACACATCAAGACAGTCAAATTTGGTCGTGGGCTAGTCCTATGCCCCCATCATCTTAGCTAGTGACAACGTGAATGCTACACATCCTGGAAGAGGGATCTATCGCACAAGAAAGAAACGAGCAGGCTCAAATCTCACATGGCTACCTATATGCTCTATCTCACATTCTGATACCCTGAACTAGATGCATAAACGACTGTCAAGAACAAGTAATCAATCCAAGTCACAGTTGGTAAGCAAAGAGTTGAAAAACTGAACCCCTACACAATTCTACTGCACGTCTCAGTCCTCATCATAGGTTGTCCTAGTCACAATCAAGCTGTCATGCATCAATCCGAAAACCATTCAATTCACCAATCAAAACACAGTGCCAATATGATCAAACAACAGTACTTGGAGCCCTCAAATCATAAGATTCGGACAGCGGACTAGGCTCCAAGCACCCAAATATATATTCCAACCGATACAAAGTACCCCCCCACACTTAAGCACGACATTGCCCTCAATGGAGTAGAGGGAGAGATAAGGGGAATGATGTTACCGGATTGAAACTACTGGGGGACTGGAAGTGGACCAGTTAGCGAGAAACAAACGGGAAGATGGACAGTTCTGCACGAATCGAACACCAAGAACACACTAGCACACGTTGTGTTAGGGATAAGTGTTAGCCCAGACGGCTACAGCAAAAACAATCCACAAAAGAAAAAAAAAACAAAAACAAACGACACTAAGTTCAAGCTCCTCATACATGGAGCAAACACACAAAAGTCTAATACGGAAAACAAAACACACTGAGATGGGCAACGAGTACAGCCTACTCGTCGCCAAGATTGCTGAAGTCGATGCTGACACGGCCAGGCTGACACGGCCGTGTGAGGTGCACTTTTGCCCGTGTCGGCCGACACGGGCTGGCCGAGGATTTTCCACTCGGCCATGTCGATTGCACATTTGGTCGTGTGGCTTTTTACGAGAGCTCGCACGGCCAGGGGAGATTTCGCACACGGCCGTGTCATCATAACAACTGGCCGTGTGGAATTTGTCGAGAGCTTACACGACCAAACCCATTTTCTACACGGCCGTGCGACCAACAGGGCTGGCCGTGTGGGCTGCCAGAACTTCGAATGTGACCTGTTTTCACTCCAGAACGACATACAACTCGTGAACAACCCCTCAAGACTCAAAAAACACAAAAAATCAAAAGGAAAAAGGTAAGAAAATGCAAACCTAGGTGGGGTTGCCTCCCCACAAGTGCTTCTTTACCGTCTTTTAGCTGGACGCCAGTCGGTGGATGCTCAATGAGGTGAAGGAGCAGGTGCCTTCAAGAGCGGATCCACCTCGCTCTTGAGGTACAGCTTCAAATGGTGGCCATGCACACGTCGAATGTGGCCACCAGCATTTGCCAACTCAACTTGGCCATCCGGCAGGATGCAGGCGAGTGAATACTCGGATGGCCAAGGTGGGGGCGGGACTAGCTCATGGTGGTCTCCGGCTTTCTTTCGAGTAGGCTTAGCTGCCTGCTGTTTCGGCCGCCACTCCTCCTTAATCTGTTCCATCGACGACGGAGTGGACGCGAGTGGCGGCGAAGGTATGGGAGGCGGATCCTGCAAAATAGGAAACGCAGAAGGATACACGACAGACTCGTGCTCCCGGTGAGAAATAGCATGCAAAGGCGAAGCAGCAGGGAGAGTATTAGTAATTGAAAATGTTATTCGCTCCTCGGCCCTCGCCATCCCTCAAAACTAAGGTCCCATCATGCACATCTATGAGGGCCTTGGAGGTGGCCAGGAAAGGCCTTCCCAGTATCAGTGGCACATCCACATCCTCATTTATGTCCAAAATCACAAAATCAACAGGATAATTGAATTTGCCAACCTTAACCAGAAGGTCTTCCACTATGCCCCTAGGATGCACTACAGATCGGTCAGCTAATTGAAGGCTCATCCTAGTAGCACGGGGTTCACCTAGGCCTAGTTTCTTAAACAGTTTATACGGCATAACATTGATACTAGCACCTAAATCCGCCAAGGACCTCTCTACATGCAAATTATCTATAGAGCACAGGATAGTAAAACTACCTGGGTCCTTCTGCTTCTGCGGAAGCTTGTTCTGCAGAATGGCCGAGCACTCCTCGCTGAGCTCCACAGTGGCCAGCTCGCTCAGCTTCTGCTTCTTCGAGAGAAGATCCTTCAGGAACTTCGCATACTTAGGCATTTGAGAAAGTGCCTCCAGGAAAGGTACTTGGACATTCAGCTTCCTAAGCATGGCCATGAAGTTCTCGAACTCTGCCTCCAGCCTGTCTTTGTGCAATCGAGTAGGGAAGGGGAGTTTAGGGATATACTCCTTCACTACTGGTTGCGGTTTAGGTGCAGGCACCTCAACCTCCTTCTCTACTTCTGCTTCAGCTGCTGGAGATGCCGAGGCAGGGGCCTCTCTCTCTTGTGCCCGAGCAGGTGGGTCATCAGTCATCTTGCCACTCCTGGTTATGATGGCATTGCAGTGCTCATTCGGGTTACGAGGGTGAGGGATGGTCTGACCGGGCAAAGTACAAGGAGCCCTTTGCGCCACTGCTTGAGCCACGCTCCCCAGCTGGGTTTGGATATCCTGCAAGACAGCCTGTGTGTTCCTCTGGCCAGCTTTAAGAGCCAGGAATTTACCCGAGGCCTTTTCCATGAACTGCTCTATAGTGTTAAATTTTTTAGCACTAGAACTGGCGAGAGAACCCACCAATTCCCGCAGTTCAGCCATCTGATCATTCTGCACGGGGGTGGCAGGGGCTGCACCTGGCTGCTGGAAAGGTCGCGGCTGTGATTGAGCAGCTTGCCTCTGCATGGGCTGGTAGAGAGACTGCTGCTGCTGCTGGAATTGCCACTGTCTGGGCTGATATGGTGGCTTCTGGAAGCCCGGTGGTCCCTGGGGGACTGGTGGTCTGGAATTTGCCCCAACCCAGGAGAAGTTGGGATGCTGGCGCCACCCCTCGTTGTAAGTGTTGCTGTAGGGGTCGTTGCGCCTAACATTATTGATGAAGTTCACCTGCTCTTGGGGTGTTGTCGATTCCTTCATCGCCTGGCAGTCTTCCACCGTGTGATGGGTGCTCTCGCACCAATGGCAGAGCATCGCCTGCTACTGTCCGGTCCCTAGAATCATCCCGGAGTGATCGATAGCTGAAACCAGCTTCGACACCACCTGCACCAAATCAGAGGAATGGTTTCCCACAGAATGTACACCTCGGCTTGGTGCTCTCCTTGACCTCCTAGCCGTGCCCCAATCATACCCGTTCTCTGCCATCTCCTCAAAGAGTTAATTCAGCTGTGGCGGTGTTTTGGTCAGCATGTTCCCGCCACAAACTGAGTCAATCAACTGCTTGTCTTCTGGGAAGAGGGCGTGATAGAAGGTGCCCACCTTGAAAGCATCGTTGAAACCATGATTGGGACACCTCAGAAAGAGGCTATTGTATCTCTCACAGGCGTCCCGGATGGTCTCATCTTCATCCTGGGTGAAGTGGGTGATCTGCTTCTGCAAGTCCGCCGTCTTCGACGGAGGATGGTAGCGGGTAAGGAACTTGTCCTCCAGGTTGGCGAACGTGGTGATGGAGCCCAGAGGTCGAGTGTCTAGCCACTCCTTGGCCTGCCCCTCCAGGGTGAATGGGAAGTACCTCAGCTGGATGGCATCTGCTGGGACCCCGTTGATCTTGATTCCATCGATGAGCTCATGGAATCGCCTGAGATGTGATCGAGGGAACTCCCCCTCTTTGCCACGGAACACCACTGAACCGCGCAGCATGGTGATTACTGAGGTGCTCACCTCAAAATTGTTGGCTGGGACATGAGGATGTTGAATGGGTGACCTCATGTCCGCAGCTCTAGCGGTCCAGTAGGATCCCATGGTCTGCTCCTCGGGGATCACATTATGATTCTCTGGATCAGCCATCTCTTCTTCTTCTTCTTCTAACTGCAGCTGTGATAGCGCCTCCTCTGCAGCCAGTCGCGCCTTTAGAGCACGCTTGAAGTTCCTGCAGGTTCGCTCAAGCTCCTGGTCTAATGGTCGTAGTTCTCCCGACTGGCTACGGGTCATGCACTACCTGCACACAATCAGCAGAAGCAACCCGTGAAGACACACAGGTGGATGAGATAAAATGCAATAAATAAAAAGCTAGAGTAACAAATTCTCACGTTTTCCCAATAACCTAGAGAGTCCCCGGCAACGGCGCCAAAAACTTGATGCTCTAAAACACAACACCAATCTGCGACCAAGTGTAATCGCAGACCGGGACTGCAGTAAAGTGGCAAGTTCTATTATCAACCCGGGGTCTAGATCTACTGCTTACTCAGTGATTATCTATTATCTAGCCAACTAAGTTAAGTGTTTGTTGTGTAAAAGCAAAAGCAGAAAGAAAGCAGGAATTGATACGGTTTTCTCAAGCAGGTAAGAGTCACTCGGGAATGAGTCCCCCTAGCTCCTTAGTTAGGTTTCAATTGTATTTTCCTGGGTTGATTTAATGTTGATTAGACTGCGGAAGATCCGACAGTAGCTTGGAATCTCTTAAGCTGACCAAGCCCTCTCAGTCTAACTACCCGGCAGACGACTAGTCTTCACAGGGATAGAAAGCTGAAGCAGTAAGAACAGAACTCCACTACTGGAATTGGATTCCAGTACAAAGCAGTAAACTGGCTAACTCTCGTATAGCCAATCTCCTACTACCGAATGATGAGACTCTAGCAACCTAATCAGATTCTATCTATCTCAGATTGCAGCAGGAATCAGGAAAAGTTGATCAGACTTCAATTGACTCAATAAACATGCATCATTCGATTAAAATCAAACAGTAATATCATCCCAAGTCATTACAATCAATCCCTAACACATAGAACTAGGGTTCTTCATCCCCAAATGAGAGAGGGGTTCTACTCCATAGAGAGAGAGAGGAAAACAGTAATCGGATTAGTCATACTCATAAAGATGAGGAAAATCTGCTCCGGGATGATGATTTCCACTCCTAGGACGATCTCCAAGCTCGATTCGATGAAACCCAGCTCCAAGATAGCTTCTAGGATGTGTTCTTCGTCCTTTCTCTCTCTAGGGCTCTGTTTTTGCTCAAAAAGTCCGATCCTCTCCCTTGTGGCTCGAAATTGGCTGAAAAACCAAGATTTCCCGACTCACACGGGCAGGCCACACGGCCTTGTGGCTCACCCAGTTGCCCGTGTGAGTCAAAACGCGGCGTATCAATTAGTTCGATCTTCAGGCTTCCCAAACGGCCAGGGTCGCACGGCCGTGTGGGATTTCCATCCTGCCCGTGTTTGCTCTCGGCGAAACTCGCACGGCCACCTTGCTCCTCCACACGGCCGTGTCATGGTTATGTGTGCCCGTGTGGCTTCCTCATCGGCTTGCCTCGCGCCCAATCTTCATCCAATCGACCCCAAACTCGCCCCCAAGCCTCCATTCACGTACTAGGACCTGAAATATCACTAACAAGCACAACTTAGCGTGAAATCAGCCTAAAACACGAGAAATCACATCTCAAACGGTGTAAGAACAGGGGTAAAAACATGTGTAATTAACGGTCTATCAGATACCCCGAGGTATAAGTACAAGGATTCGAATGAGTTGATGGAGCACTACGAAGATTTTTCTACTTAGCCACTAGTAAAGGATCTAATAGGTGAAGATAAACAAATCATGAGAGGTTTTAGGGTTCTTGACCCTAAACAGTAGCAAGGAGGCAATGAGCAGTGGAAAGCTTAAACTTTAAGAAAATCTAGGGTAGTATAAATGAAGCAAAAGAGGAAATAAGTATGTACAGGGAGTCTGAAAGGACGTCAAGAAGTCAATAGGTCATGGAGGAGAGTAGGCATGGTCATGTACATATGACGATAAATGAACCCTTATAGATAAACTACGTCACTAGAGAGGGGTACGTGAACCTGGGGAGTTAGGCCGATGACAAGCTGTAACACCCCGGTATTTTAGATTTAGGTTCGACTTTAATACGTGATCAGTTGGATTGACGGTTACGTACTAAGAGTTACAACCGCGGATTAAGAATAATAATATTATAATATTATTATTATAATATTATTATTATTCATTATTATTATTATAACATTACTTGTAAAAAAAACATAGGGTCGGCCCCTCCATCCAAACCCTTCCAGCGGTAGCTTTTTATTCCGAAACCAAAAGTTTCCTCTCCCATTTTGTTTGGCCCAGCAACCGCCGCCCAAAGAAAAAACCCTTCCCAGCGCCGCAAGCAGAAACAGCACGAGGCGCTCGCCGAGTTCCCTTCTTCCACCGCCGCCCCTGTTCTCGATCCGATCCCGATCCGATCCCGTTCACGTTTCTAGGTAAGGATCACGAACCCCTTCGCGATTTCTAAACTCGATATATCGATACTCTCATCCGAAGCTCGTATTTTTATTAGCGGTGACGTTTGAGGGTTCGATCAATGGGGAGATCAACGTCCCAGGTCATCCAACCTCTAGGCCTAGCCACGTTCTAGAGGTAAGGGAACTTGATCCCTTTGAGTTAGATTGATCGATTTGGTGATTTTTCATGAGGATGCACTTCTGGGTTTTAGCAACAGGCTTTACAGGCTTTTAGTGACAGATTTGGATTGGTCACTAAAGCTGCTGAGAATTTCCAGAAACGTATTTTTAGATGTTTTAAATTTTTTCGAGCCTCTCTGAAGGTTTTTTTCTGAATTTAACAATTTTATGAATTGAGAGACGTCTAGGAGATGATTGTAATTTAATTTGGAAATTTTTGAAGATGTATTTCTATTTTTAGAAATTGTTCTAATAATCATTTTAATTAAATAAAAATCTCCCCGAGGGGTTTTTAAGGGTTTGATAATTTTGCTGGGTATAGGTACTCATGTTTGACATGGAAAAATTATTTTCCAAAATTATAAGAAGGTTCAAGTTAGGTGGAAAATTCGTCCAAGATAAACATAATTAAGAAAAATGGACGTTTTTGAAGGGATTAATTCTAGAAAATTTTAGTGGGGGTTAAAGGACCCTTGGAATGAGGTTCAAGGACTGGAGTTTGAGGAGAGGATATTCTAGTGATTCAAAAGGGGTTTTAAATCAAGAAAGGTCGTCTAAGAAAATGGATTCTTATTAATAGGTTTCCCCAAGATAATCCGGCTAAGGAGGGGTTTCTTCGAGGAAGGAGTTGAGGAGTCATCTTTTCGAGGTGAGTGTAAAGGGGGTAAAATCTATGTCGTAGGTCTTTTAGTTTTCGCTTTTCGTTCAGGTTATTATTTAGTTAAATTTTCTAGTATGCGCGATATGTGTGTGAGGCATCCCACCGCCTGTAAGGGTGGAGGCACGCGTTGTGCTATGTATGAATGTATGTGATGTTGTATGGATTGATGGTATGAGAAACCCTCGGGCGATTGGGTCACTACTGGACGGCGAGACGTGACGCAGTAGTTGACGGGCATGGAATGGACGGCGAGACGTAACGCAGTGCCATTGCCAAGTTTGGGTATGCAACCGGACGGCGAGACGTAACGCGGTTGGCATACTAGGGTAGGACACCGAACGGCGAGACGTAACGCGGTGGTCCTAGTGTTTTTTGTTTGAGTTAAGGATAGAAGGCGAGCACTCTTAGGAATTAATGTTGAAATGAGTTGATAAGAATGGTTATTTAAGAGCAGAAAGCGAGAACGGCTTTCATGCCAGGAAGCAAACTCTAATAATGTGTTTAGTAGGGAGTTCGCCTAGGCAAAGACCTTAGGGAGTAACGACGAGACTGACCCCTTCTCAATCACCAGGTGCATAGAGGGGAAGAGGACGCATCCATCAAGAGGAGATTACCCGAGGAGAGCAGTCGCGACTAACCTGAAGATGTCAACTGGATCTGGGTAACGAGATGGAACCTCCCATATATTTGTCTTTAGTTTCATGTCTTAATGAGTATACTGGGAAACTCAAGGATTGTGTTTTATGTTTTGTTGTTCTGGATTGAGGTCGCCCAAGTGTTTAGGGCATTTCACTTGAAAATCTTAAACATTGTGGTTGTTGATTTTTGGTTTTGACTTGTAAACCGTTTTGGGTTGCTCCGGAGTAACCGGTTTGTTATTTGAGTTGTGGTTTGGTTTTCAAAAAGGATCGGGTCGTGTCATTTTGGTATCAGAGCCTGATTTTCCTCTATTTCTTGGTCTCCAAGGAATACTAGAGTGACGATCTGGGTTTTCAAAGGTTTAGTTTTAAAGGGAAAAAAGGGAACTTTCAAGAAACATGGTTGGACAACCGATTTGAAAAGGTTTATAGAGTCCCCATTATACTCAAGCATGATAAGACATTAATGTGGTTCTAATAAGGGTACTACTTACTTGCAGAGCAAGTAACGCCAATGTTAACCACGCGGCGGTTAGGCAACCACCGAATTATGAGGCTTTCCGGAGGCGAGGAGTGGTTGATTTTGATGGGGACCACTCGAAGGATGCTAGTGAAGTAGAGAAATGGCTGGCGAAGGTCTCGCACACATTGACTGAAATGAGGGCAGATGATGAGGATAGGGTGCTACTGACAGTATCCCTGTTCCAGGATTTAGCATACAATTGGTGGTGCACCCTTCCAGCTAGTCAGGAAGACCCACCAGCTATCACTTGGCCAGAGTTGGTGCAGGTGTTCCGGGATCACTATGTACCAGAGGCCTATCGACTGAGCAAAAAGAGGGAATTTTTGCTGATCAAGCAAGGATGGGGCAATGAAGGAGCGGAGGGTGTTGCAGAGTACACCTCCAGGTTCGAGAAGCTGATGCCCTATGGGGGACCCCAGTTCTAGGATGCGTCATCTCAACGTGCCCACTATTTGGAGAGTCTGAAGCATGCCCTTAAGAAGCAGTTGAGCATGTTAGCATGGAACAGTCGGGAGGAGATTTATCAGGCGGCTCTTCGGATAGAGAGGGCTGACAAAGCTGTGCATGAAGAAGGGATACAGCGAGAGGGAAGCAAGAGAAAGGCAAGTAGCATGCCAGAGTGGTCCGGCCAGCCCAGTTAGTACAGAAGGAGGATGAGCGGTACCGTTAGCTTTGGGGGTACTCAAAGTCAAACTGGCTCGGTCCGGCCTGGTCAAACTTTCACCAACAGAGGTCTCTGCAACCAATGTGGGCGGGATCACTCAGGGGAGTTTAGGCAGCCCCACAAGGTCTGCTATAACTGTAACGAGCCTGGGAATTTCGCTAGAGAATGCCCCTGGAGAGGCGGACATGGGATGGCTCGGTCCGAGCAGTCTGTCCGGGGTGGTGGAGCAAGGACTCACGCAGGACCACGGTTTGGCGGCCAGCCAAACCGCTCTTTCCAGAGCCAAGGAGGACGCACAGATCGCTTCGACCGCACCGATCGGGACAGAGACCAGGGGCCTCCAGCAGGAGGACAGCTGAGGGTTTTTGCCATGCGAGGGATAGAAGGAGATCGTGGTGACGATGGAGGGGACGAGCAAGAACATTGATGCGATCATGAGAAGAAACAGGGAGACTGTGGAGAAGGAGTATTTGCTTTAAGCATAGACCACTAGTTGGTTGTTTTCTTTGAAAGACGCACTTTCAGTTTTAGTACTCGGTACCAAATCTTTTAAATTAGTTCGGACCGAAATTTCGACCTCGAAATTTCTTTAAGGGGGAGGGAAATGTTATGTTCTTGCTTGAAAAGTTTTAGTCAAACACCAAAAGTTTTAGACCAAGTAATTATCTTTCCAGTTCCAAATTTCGGGGACGAAATTTTTATAAGGGTGGAGGGAATGTAACACCCCGGTATTTTAGATTTAGGTTCGACTTTAATACGTGATCGGTTGGATTGACGGTTACGTACTAAGAGTTACAACAGCGGATTAAGAATAATATTATTATTATTATATTATTATTATTATAATATTATTATTATTATAACATTACTTGTAAAAAAAGGAAGCAGAGAGGACGAAAACTGTTTTTTGGACAGTTTGCTTGTGCTAAAAGGCAGGTTGCTTTTGCTTGAAGAAAGAGAGTTTGTGGCCGAGTTTTACACTGTTTTTAGTTTGTTTTTACGATAATTGTTTCCTAGTTCTATTAGGTTTGTATTAGTTTTTTATTGTCTTTAAATAGCTTTCAATTTCACATTGTAAAGCATTCAAGTTTTAGTTGAATGAAAATTGCTCCTTTGTGAGAATTGTGTTCTTTGAGAGTTCTCAAGAATCAAAACCCTGAGTTGTCGTGTGAGGAATCGCATTGCTAATTCGAGAACCCTTGTCAATCTTTTCTGTGAGGATTCCAGAATCGGTTTACGAGTTTTCTTATCAATCAAGTAAACACCTTGATTGTGGCGAAATTCTACCTATCCGTTTTATCTTTCGTTGAAGAGTTTCGAGCTGCATTACTTTGATTAAAAAAACCCCCTGGGTGTTTATCAAGTGGTATCAGAGCCACGGTTCAAGTCAGTGATGATAAGAATTGAAGTCTGAGTTTCGTACAAAAATTCAGCACGAAACAGAGCAACAATGGCGTTCGAGGAGCTAGCACGTTCGATGGTATTCAGGCGCTGTTTAATTCATGAGAAAGTGTGCTTGGTTCTCGTTGATAGAGTCCGGTAGAGGAATTTGATTTCCTCTAGGATTGTGAGCAAGCTAAGGCTGCAAACACAACCACTATCGAAGTCATATACCTTTCAATCACCATACGAACGACTCTCCAAAGTCGTATTTTCACATGTGGATGTGAAATTCTCAA